TATATATATATATATATATATATATAATATAATGCTTAAATACCCTTAAAAGTGATGTACAGGAAATAATGAATTTCTTGATCACAACTAGCTGCAAACCAATTTCAAACACCTTGCTATAATTATTTACAAATAAAATAGTACTTAATCAGTTTTACTTCACTAATAATACAAACACATTCGAAACAGATATATTTGTAGTCTAGAGGTGTTTCAAGATAAATAAGTAGATTGCAACAATCTATGATGTAAATCTATCTTGCATTAGCCTTCCACACAATAAACATCCACGTGGACCTTACCAAAGTGCACTAACAGCTCCCTAATATGCTTAAATTTATCCTGTTTTGTAATGTGTTGTCACCAATTTATTTAAAAGAAAGTTAAGAATGATTGGGGAATGGAAACATTTTAAATATTGAAAAAGGTAAATTATAGATGAAAGGAGGAAAAAAAGCATTGTGTTGGTCTCTCTTTTATCACCTGTAGTCAGACTAGTTTTTTGTTGGAGAATAAAGAATTTTTAAAATACTTGCTCAAGCAGTTGGAAATTATATTTGTTGTTACCGTTGTACAGTACAGTTTTCAAATTTGTAATCCATTAATCTTTTGACTGTTTCTTCTCCTCAGATTTATACTAAGCCATATTTGGTCACAACATCAGAAACAGCATCCATGGTGAGTTTATAGTCTAGTAATTTTTTGTTTAATTAAATATCATTTAATAGCTTCACTGGAGCATTTTTTCTATATGCTTTACTGGAACATAATTTTTAAATGGCCATTACTTTGTCTTAGCATTTTTCAAATAATATGCTTGGAGAATACACTAAAAGTTTGTAAATAGTACTTCACACCTCTGCAGTGCATTTCTTGTAAAAAAATCTCAAAAAAGTTCTACTAAAGCCCCACTCTTGCAGTATGTTACATTAGGGCAAATTCTGGCATCCAATATTAAGCTCATTCATATAAGTATCCAATATTACCCTAGAAAAGGTTGATTTAGTTGGGTTTTACACAAGTTTAGGAATATACTCATACACAAAACATTGCAGAAATGGAACTACTAGAGGTATGAAAGCAGCCTTATGAAGTAAGAACATAGATCATTTTGATCACCTCTGAAATACAGAAGTACTTCTGGGATGGAACAGAGCTTTTTAACAAATTAGGGCAGGAAATTAAAAGCAGAAACTGAAATAGGGAAACCCAAACTTGTCCAATACTCAGAATTTTTGCTTCTTCAGGGTTTACTCTTATATAAGTTAACTTAATATTGGATGCTTTTATTTCTCTGGTGAAGGAACCTTGAGCATATATTTGTGCTTTTCATAAGTTGGAGCTTTATCTTTCCTTTGATTTTAAAATCAAGCAAAACTTGATGCTTGTTGGATAGTGGCCCCATCTAACACTGCCAGTTACATTGATTGGTTTTTGTGAAAAATACACCTAGAACTATAGAGTGGAAATGTCGCCTGCGAGATATTTTAAAATAAGGGATAATTATTTAATCCTTGGAAAGTATCACCTAGGATTCTTAGTCATCCACCCTCTTTCTCCTTCAGTTTGGAGATTCAGCTTTTTAATGTGTGACCTGGGTCTTCCATCCATGTGTCCATTTTATGCTATTTTTGTAAGGGAAACACCCCCCTCCCAGAATCTCTACTAACTTCAGTTAATTTAGGGAAATGTTGAAAGGAACTGGCAGGCACACAGTGGGACTTCACGTTGGGGATGATCAGTAAAACAGAAGCCTTGAGCTAGCTTTCAAATACCCCAGAGGTTAAAAAATCGTAAGCGCTAGAGACATTTTTCTGGGTGACTGTTGCAGGAGATGTAAGACTTGAGCAATAATGATCTGTGGTGATCTTTGCAAAAATGAATTTCAAAAATATTTTGTCGGAGTGATATGCATCTATAAAAGGTCATCAGATGCCAGGGTGATGGATAAAGTTGTAATCAATTAAAAAGATATTTTCAAGTAATATTGCTTGCATTCACATGTTCAAATAAGTTACATTTGTTAGTTTATATTTATAACAAGGGAAACACACCCACAGAAAGAAATTGAGAGGGAAAATCAAATAACTCCTTGTGCTTGCTTGCTGCCTATGGGAAGCAGATGCATTTGTTTTGAGCTTCTGAAATGAGGTGCTCTAACACCTAAGGGGACTAGATAGTGCTCATTTTTAAAAAATGGCAAGAAAAGGGCAGTATTTTGGGTGAGAAGGATGATAAAACAATTTTGGATTAATATTTTTAGCAACGTTTTATATGTATCTACTTTTATTTATTGTCTCTTTCCAGCCAGTTGCACCAAAATATACATATACGCCTCTGAATCATCTTAAAGGTGGAACTATAGTCAACTTGTATGGTGCTGTGAAATTCTTCAAGCCCCCATATATAAGCAAAGGAACTGGTATGTACTGTATCAAACAGAAAATCGAAACTCTTAATACATGTCACTCTGTCTGGAGTGGTTTGTGATTGAGTGCCAACCTCAGGGCAGACTATCAAAAAGTGGAGCAGATACCCAAACTGGTTGCATGAGCTATAATAAGATTTCACCAGCCCAATCACAAATGTGAACTGCTGAAGCACAGTATTATCATGGAGTCACAGACTTTTCCCTTAAACAATCCAGTCTATCCTGCTACCCAGGCAAGTGATCACTTATTGCCAATCATCAACAATCACAGAATATTGAGGTTGCGTTCAGTTCTACAAGACCAGTTCAGATCTCACACCAAAGACAACATGTGGAGCTAATCATGTGGAAAACTAAGGATTTATTTACTAGTGAAAATAAATGAGTTACTTATAGGTTAAAGCACATAAACATATATATACAAATGAGTTATGGTCCATGGTTTTAAAAGGTGATGGGTTTTAGTCAACACAAAATGTCTTTTAGGGCTGTGTTACTGGCAAACCATGTCAGTCTAGTGCCACAGTACAATTTACTTGCTATTTGGATAGATCAAAGTAATGGCTGAATACAAAGGAGTATATAGGTCGTTTAAACTTCCTGGGCCCTTCTATTGTTCTCTCTTATCTGTTCCTATACAATGCAATAGCAAACTTATACATTATGTTTATTCCTGTAAGTAAAATAATTCCTCAAACACCAATGAAGCCTTGGGGAATGCAAATGAAGAAGAGTGTTATCTTCAAAGCAAATGGTCATTGTGTATAATAATTGGAATGAAATTCCTCACTCTCTGGTATCAAAGAAAGAGCTAGTAAATACACTGTCAGCTTCCTTTCTGTATAAAGGAGCTATAAATATGGATTCAAGAAAGGATGTATTCTTACATGGAGGTATACCAGATGCAAAGTCAGGATCCCCAGAGACAGAATGGATATTCTGAAGTCTTTTGAGGCACTGCAGGCCTATAAGCAGAAATTTGTGTGTGTGTGTGCGCTTTTTTTTGTAAATGTGGACTGCAATTTTTTTAAATATAAAGGAGTTCAAAACAATCATGCAATGAGTGAGCATAGAGAGTTAATGAAAAAATTGAGTGGAGACAATGATTGGTAAAATGATTTTGTTATAATATACTAACACCAGACTCCCTTTCTCATGCTTACTTTGGGGACTATGAAAGGTGCATTCAATCCTCGCAGCCCCCAGTGTACGGGTCTGACTGGCACTTTATTATATAATTATCACCATTTTGAGTTACAAATTGTGATTTACCTGTACATATTGTGACAGGCTTAAGGATGCAGCGACACAAAGAAAAGAATGCACAGTGACCCTCCAGCCATTCCAGTTTTGGGTGCAGCATAGAGTAGGAAGCTGCCATGGCAATGCCGATGGGTTGTCCAGAGTGCACTGTTTAATGACCCAAGTTGCCCAACCACATGGTATTGAAAAGGGGGTGGGGGAAACGTGTGCCAGACCGAAGCCAGCGGTCTTCCACACTCTGGTGGAAGTCAGATATACAGGACACTGGATAAGTGGTTTTCTCATTCCAGAGTGAACTACTGGAGTCTGCTGCAATAAAATGAAGGCAGGAAAACACCTGGGGCTAATTAACTAGATTTCTCCCTCGGGCAAGTTACTCAAACCTGCAGCAAAAAAGATGAAAGATTTTCTTGTTCATTTTTTTCTCAGAATTCAGGCTTTTGGGATAAGCCTTTCTGCGTATATGTCCTCTTCAGAGGTGTAAATGGGAAATTAACAGTCCTGTTGTGATGTCCCACAATGGCCCACTTTGTTTTTATCAATTTCTTAATAAGTAGGAAATGATTCCTTCTGAAAAGTTGGATGGGAAAATATTTTTTACAGTTATAAAGTAAAAATTTAAATATTACCTTGTAGCATGTGATGAAGATATAATAAATTAGATTCATACAGGAAGAAACTTACAAGCATTTATTAAATTTAAACACTAAACACATTGTTATAAGTTCAACACCTGTCTTGGATGTATTAACACATAGGTAAAATAGATTGGTTTCCTGTGATAAATTTGTCAGAGCCTGAAGCCTAAAGCTTTCGTGAAAGCTGGTGCCTGGTCAGCCAGTATCACAGTATACAAATGTATATGTGTTATAGTCTTTCACATTTACAGCATTAAAAACACCCAAAAAACAACCTATTTTTGGTTTACTGATATTTTCATGCCTGTAGCTATGGCGAGTAAAACTAAGGAGAATAACAGAATGACATGTGAGCTTTATTCTTGAAAATAGAGCTTTTACACTTTCCCTATTTTGTACAGTATATGTGATTCAGTTTAGACAAACCAGTGGATAAAGCAAGTTGAAAATGGGTCTGTTATGGTAATAGTCCATACAAATTATGGAAGAAGATTTAAAGCACAGAAGCCCAGCACTTATTCTTGGGGGAATAGATAGTTCTGCTACTGTGTATAACTTCTCTTTTTTGACATTTTAATAATGAATGCAATTACACTATGTTGTAAATATGACACTATTGTGTGTCTTACACAAAGCAGCAGTTCAAAGCATGAATTATTCATTTTACTTGCGAGGGGAAGATTTGTTTGTGGTATCCTGCTTAAAGACTCTGCTCAGATTCAGGACCCTATTGTGGTAGGTGCTCCATAAACACAGAAGTAGACAGAATGTCTGCTCCATTTATTCTGAGTGAATTGAAAGCCTATGCTGGTTGTTCAAAGGCTTCTGTACAGTGTAAGGATTTTTTTAAAACGAAGTTACCACTGTAAGGGAAGGTAAATTGTCTGTTGTAATGGTTCTTAAATTTAGAAACCTGATTTACATAATTTAGTATCTGTTTAATTCTGTCCGTGAAAGTGTGATTTTTGTCTGTGTGACTAAAATATTTATATCTGTTCAATCCTCAGTATGGACACTGTTATGTCAAAAAGGTCTCTCGTCATTTTAGAGTATTTCACTTCTGACATGGGAATAACTATACTGGGATAAAACACCTATATAGTGTTACAGCTATGTCCATACTACAGTGGTTATAAAGTTTTAACTCTACACGTATAAGTAAAATAATTTTTGGCTGCTATTGAGTTAGCAGGAAGTGTAATAGTATGTCCTCTAGACAATTATGATATATGTGACTGTAAAAATCATGACATATCGTAACTTAATTGTTAGATCTTAAAAAATGGATGCAGTGATTAAATCAGGAATCAAGAGTTAGTAATAGTCCATCTGCTGTTACAGAGATCATAGCATATGTTTTGATATTTTTCTTCTAAAACTAAACTAAAATGAATATCACCGCTTTCATGTCAACATATTCCGTGATACACTCTTGCAATATAATTTTAGCAGATCTACAAACTAATGTGCCTAAACCATAAATTTGGAGGAATCTTTATTTAAGATGAATTACTCATCTATTGGTTATTTTGTATTGCTGATAGAACTCTATGAGAGTGTCAAACAGCACAAGTTGTGTGTTCTGTAAATGATCCTTTTTGACAGTACTGTAGACTAATACAGGAATAAATGTAGAAGAACAAGCTTCAGCTGTTCTGTGTTTTGAATATTGTTGTGGTTGATAAATTACAAAACATGTATTCCTAATTATATTTAGACAATAATTAGGAAAAATATCTTTATCCAAATCTAACTTTATTTAGACTAGGAGTGAATAAGTATTTGGTCCCCCATGTAGAATTGAATTTACACATACAGAGGTTTGTACATATTATATATATTACAACTAATATATTTGATTTTTACTTTATGCATGGAGATATATTTATATTGTATGTATTAAACCAGATATACCTTGATTTTTATACTATATTTTCAAGATATACTAGAGCTATTATATTTATGATGCTGTTTTTGGCCTAAGAAATTTAAATGATAAAAGTTTTCATATAAATGAATTATATTCAGAAAACATAATTTGGGTCACCCATTCTGACTCTCTCCACAATTCTGTGTGTCTGTATGGTTTTTGTTGTTCGTTTTTTTTTTTTTTAAATCCACCATTCCCACTATTAGGAACTTTGAGATTGCTAGCCCCAGAATTAGCTGAGGGAATTCAAGCATAGCCTTTGAGGCAGGTTAGTTAATCCATCTGAGCTGTGACAGAATGGCCTCACTGGCCAGACCACCTGATATGGCTCCTTCAGTCAAAGTCCTGCATTTAATTGCAGCTGAGGTTGTTCTTGTCTCTGGCTTGTTCCTCGTCTTCCTCCTGCATTGTTCCTGTACTATTCCAGCATGCTGCTGCTCTTTTCAAGCCCTGCTTTCTTGCCAGTTTTGTGATTCCAGATCTGTCCTTTGGCTTGATTTATTTCCTGATTTGGCATGTGGCTCTAGCTTCCCACTCCTATCCTCTAACTCTGACTACTAAATTAGATTGCCACATCCCAGTTCTGGCATCTTCTACACTGCATAACATGCTTAGTATTATCTGTGGTACTAGTGTCTGTCACCTCCCCATTTAGTCTATTTCTTTATCCAATTACTCGTCTGGAAGGAGGGGGTAACTGTATGAAAATCGAGGCTGTGTCTACATTGGCACCCTTTTCCGGAAAAGGGATGCTAATGAGACACTTCAGAATTGCAAACGCCGCGGGGGATATTTAAATCCCCCGCAGCATTTGCAATTCTGAAGTGTCTCATTAGCATCCCTTTTCCGGAAAAGGGATGCTAATGAGACACTTCAGAATTGCAAACGCCGCGGGGGATATTTAAATCCCCCGCAGCATTTGCAATTCTGAAGTGTCTCATTAGCATCCCTTTTCCGGAAAAGGGATGCTAATGAGACACTTCAGAATTGCAAACGCCGCGGGGGATATTTAAATCCCCCGCAGCATTTGCAATTCTGAAGTGTCTCATTAGCATCCCTTTTCCGGAAAAGGGTGCCAATGTAGACACAGCCCTAGTGTATTGATAGCTATTTAAAAAGTTGTGTTCTTTGAAGCTCAAAGACTTGTCTTTTCCACCAAT